TAAATTATTGTCAAAAGACATTAATGCCCTAGCACTAGACAAGGCATATAGTCCACCAGAGCCAATCGCTGCAGCATTTCCGTCTGGCTCAATTACATCACCATTACCAGTTAAAATTAATATATGTTTTTGATCTGCAACAATCATCATGGCTTCAAGTTTACGTAAATATTTATCACTACGCCAATCTTTTGCGAGTTCTACTGCGCTTCTTAGTAAATGGTACGAATATTTTTCTAATTTCGATTCTAATTTTTCGAATAAGGTTAAAGCGTCAGCAGTAGAGCCAGCAAAACCAGCAATAATACTATTATTAAACATTGTTCTTAATTTTTTTGCTGTGGATTTCAATACAGTATTACCATGCGAAACTTGACCATCAGCTGCAATCACCACATCTTTATCTTTTCTTAAACAAAGTATGGTAGTCCCATGTAATGGGATAGAGGAGGATGAATTATTTAACATAAAGTCTTTTATTGATGTTTAACCCTTTGTTTATTATTATTAGAGTATAAGTAATCATTATATACCATAATTACAAGATATATCCTATAAATATTTATGTAATATATGTTAATTCTTGAAACGGAAATAATGATTTTGTTCTTCTGAAACAAGATTTGTTCATTATTTACAGCATATTCAAATATATTTGTAGTATTATATCATAGAATGTGTATAATGCTAATAGCTATTAGTATTTTTTATCAATGCTATTTTCCTTACAAAGATCTCTTAAAGCTTTATAAGTACTTAATAGAAAAATAACCATAAGAGGAAGCAAGTTCTTTAAGTTATTTTTAAAATATTCACTCCAGCTAGTTAAAAGCTTGCCTTCATAATAAATATCGGTAACCATAAAAATGGCAACTTGGTCTAACCAAAAGCATAGAAAAAATGTTGTCATTACCAAATAGTTTAAAATAATGAGAAGATTACCTTTTTAGTATCAATAAAATAATGTTGTATTAAATGACTAATTGTAAATAAGCAAATAATAGATGTTAAGGAAATTACTTGAAGGAAAGGTTTTGCGTTATAATATTGAAAACCAATAATCATAACACCACAAAATAATAGTAGAAATATTATAAATTTTTTTGTCATTTTATAGTTGCAACACGTTATGAAAAAACATATCAGAATTTTTAGTCGCTATTTTTATGGCTTCCATAGTAATTTGACTTAATTGATGACACGTTCTAGTTCAATTCTTCAATCTCTTTTTTAGTTAACCCAGTAGATTGCGCGATTATATCGCAAGAAACTCCTGATTGCTTGAATTTTCTAGCTATTTCTATTTTTTCTGCTCTAGCTTTAGCTTTCCCTATCCGGATACCTTCAGCTTTACCCCTAGCTTCAGCTGTTTTTATTAAGTAATCTTCTGCAGCCCTGTTATCCATTATGCGTTTAGTTTCTTGCTCGTAAATGAATAATTCTTCTTCTGTCCAATTAAATTGGTTTAATTCTTCATATGCTCGTTTTATTACTAGATCCGACCCTATAATTTTAAGTAAATCTGCTTCACTAGTTTCGTCAGCATGTTTAAAGAAATAACACCATTTTTCAATAATATTTGTTAATAGATTTATATCAGTGATTTTAAATTTTGGTAATTCAATAAAAGTAAAGGAAAAATCCTTTAAATCATGTTCATAGCTTTCTTTATCCAAAATAATATGATCAGATTTATAAAACACTTTGTCTTTAAAAATAATAGTATCGCTAATAGCAATAAATATTACCGCCTTTAAATCTATATATCTAGCTCCTTCTTCCTTACCCTTATTTAACTGCATTGAATAGGCTTTTGCCGCATAATATTGGGCTCTCTTCTCAAATCCTTCTTGTGGCGATACTTGCATCTCAATAATTATCTGCTCTCCCTTTTCACTCTTGCATAATACATCTACTATACTTTGCTTTTTAGCAGCAATCTCTGGTACTTGAATAGTAGGCAAGAATGTTACTTCCTTAATTTTATCATCATTTTTCAGCTCCAATACATCATTAATAAAATGAATAAGAATATCTTTGTTCTTCTCTGAGCCAAATATACGACGGAATGCAACGTCATTTTTAGGATCTAAAAATTTACTAATAGCCATAAATAATAATTTATTTGAGAGTTATTACATATTGGTTATTATATCATCAATATCATAAGCTAGTAAATATTAAATGATATGAAGAATTTTATATTCCCAACAAACTATTGGAAAATAA